TGAACACAAAACAGTGACAATTTGTTGTTGACAAAGGACAGCTGGGCATATAAAGGGCCCCATTACCTTCAGTAGCTTGGGGCCTCGTCAAACCTAAATCCAGCCCTGAGCTAATAACACACACAGAGAGAGAAACAATCATTTAAAAACATGGCACCAGCCCTTTCATTAAAAACTGTCAGTTCCCCAAAACCTGTTGGTGGTGGAAAGACTGCAAGAAGAGAGCCAGTCTAACCTTCCTAGGGAGGAGTTCCAAAGTTTTAGAGCAGCCTCTGCGAAGGCCTTCTCCTGCATCCCCGCCTGTCCCCACCTGTGAGGATGGCATACCATGCCCCTTGCCCAAGACCCCAGAACCTTGGCCAACTCATATGAGTGCTAATCAGCAAGCCCTGCTTGCAAAGGAACAAAGAGCAGCTCATTAAAACTCCTGGTCATTCGTTTGCAACTGCATCCTTACCTGCCCCACATCTAATGTCACATCTGACATCAGGTGGGTGCAGTCTCTCCTGGGCAGTTCCTCCCCCCCCCCCCCCCCGCTGCCTTATATCTTGCTTCAAGAGGTTTAGCATTCCAAGGAGATAATAACCTGATAGGTGAGCCACACAGACCTGCAGATATTTATTAATATTTTCCTTGTGAAATGTTTCATTGGGGCAGGGTGGGGATCTTCACATCTACTTTTGGGAAAAGAGATTTAGAAAAGCCAAGTACAATTTTCAGTGTAATCTGCTTAGCCCGCTGGATATTTTCCGCAGAAGCTGAAAGGTATTTCAAAAAGCTAGCGCTCATCAGAAGCTGCAGGTGTTCTGCTAAAGTGCAAGGACCATTAAACCAGAGAGCTCTTTTCTCTATTGAGTGTGACCTTGGCAGAGAAACGGACTCTGGGAAAATAATTTATGATTTTGCAATCAGAAAAGCCGGGGGGGACGGGACACAATTAATGAACTGATTCATTTATAAAATGTTTGCAGCCATGTTGTCCCTTTTGGAAGAGAAATCAAAATATCAGCAGGATAATACCATTATTAAGGTAATTTTAAAAGTACAAGATATTTAGCATGCTTTGTAGAATGCTGCTTTGGGGTGAGGGTTAAGGTGGAGCCATGATGGGCAATGGTGTAATTTAGGTGTAACAAACCTGCTCCCCCACACAAAAAACCAGACTTCTTGTGTTAAGGGAAGGGATGGGAATTTGCACTGGAATGTGTAGGATAACAATTGCTTGATGCAACTTCATATATACTCCCCACAAACAGATCAGAATCAATGCTCAGCAAATAGCTGCCATTGTCTACTTCCAGCCGCCCTGCAAAATTAATGCAAACAAATCAGGCTGAATATTCCTGAAACAGATTGTCTAGAAGCAACTTGCAATGCTGCTGCAGAGTGAAACAAAGGGTGGATTTTTCCATTCAGATCAATACAGAAAATAAAATTGGCTCATTCAAAGCCAAGGCAGCACCAGGTGCCTTAATTATCTTTCTGCTGGATGTTGGTTTATTGCTGTGGTCACCAGTGCCTCGTGATCAGCCTCGGCACCTGCGTTCGGCAGAATATCGTGGCATTTTGCTAAGCAAGATGAATATTGCCCAGATGGTGACTCCAGAAGGATCCATTTCACAGAGCATTCTTCCCGCCCTGCAGTTCCCAGTACAGGAATTCTGAATGTCATTCTAAAGACGGAGATGAACCCACATAAACAAACCAGCTAGCCAACAGAACGGTAAATTTGGAATAAAGAACCTTGGCAGAACTTTCAGAGGAGATCAGGTGGGGGGTGGGCAGATCATAAGACTCGAGAGCAGCTTGCACTTAATTCCCTATTTAGTGACATCATTTATCTTAAGTGCAGCGGCTGGACCAAGCTGAAGACCACTGAGGAAGGCTAGGTGTTTATTACTATGAATAAAGAAAAGCCCAATTTCTTGATTCATTCCACAGCACAGTATAGTTGGTGCACAGAAAGATCCTACAGGAAAATCCAGCACCCTTAGAAGCTTATTCATTAAAAAACTTACTGGTCTTTAAGGCAGTGGTCCTGAAAGGGCGTGACAACCACACTGGTGTGACAGGAAAGGATGGCAAATGTGGCAGGAAGAATCAAGTACAGTGGTACCTCGGGTTACATACGCTTTGGGTTACATACACTTCAGGTTACAGACTCCGCTAACCCAGAAATAGTGCTTCAGGTTAGGAACTTTGCTTCAGGATGAGAACAGAAATCGTGCTCCGGTGGTGTGGCAGCAGCAGGAGGCCCCATTAGCTAAAGTGGTGCTTCAGGTTAAGAACAGTTTCAGGTTAAGTAGGGACCTCCGGAACGAATTAAGTACTTAACCTGAGGTACCACTGTACAGTCAATATTATACTTTGGGATTGATTCATGTTCTTGTGTAGTTGCATTGTTTTATACTTTCTGCATGTCCCATGGTCATAAAGTGAAAAGATAAAGGGACCCCTGATCATTAGGTCCAGTTGCGGACGACTCTGGGGTTGCGGCGCTCATCTCACTTTATTGGCCAAGGGAGCCGGCGTACAGCTTCTGGGTCATGTGGCCAGCATGACTGAGCCGCTTCTGGCGAACCAGAGCAGCGCATGGAAACGCCATTTATCCTCCCGCTGGAGCGGTAGCTATTTATCTACTTGCACTTTGACATGCTTTCGAACTGCTAGGTTGGCAGGAGCAGGGACTGAGCAACGGGAGCTCACCCCGTCGCAGGGATTCGAACCACCAACCTTCTAATCAGCAAGCCCTAGGCTCTGTGGTTTAACCCACAGCGCCACCCGCGTCCCTATTATAAAGTAGTTGTGTTTTATAAATCAGGCATTGCTAGAAGTTGTATCTTTTTTAAGTGTTTTCCAGTATATTTCTTAACCATAAAAAATAATAATGTGGCGCAAGGAAATTTTTATTCTGGAAGTGTGGCCCTGGAAGTTTTGAAAGCCACTGTTTTAAGGTATCACCAGACTCTGCATACTTTGTAGAGAAAGTTATTCTCTGAAGCAAGATGTTCATACATGAATGCAAGCTTTGTGTGCAACAACTGAAATCCAACAAAGCTGATGAAGATAACTGATCAGTAAGTAAATCTGCAAGAATCCTATGTACTTCTGAATAAATGTGCATAGAACGGAGACACACAGACACTGGCCAATCCACACCCCCTTCCCCGATTCCCTGTGCCTTCCCCTACCTAGTGGCCATGAAGCCACTCACAGCATTACTTCATAGTGGGTTTTGTGTCAGCCTGGCGTGAAATCGGAGAAGATGAGAGGCAAGAGAAATTGGTATCCCTGTTCCTCTCCCTGTAAAGGCCTTGTGCTGTCGGTGGCCAGGTGAAGATGGAAGTGATTTTCAGGAGCCAGGTTTGCCCACTGCAGTTCTTGTATCCTACCAGTGGTGTAGCGTTGGTTGCCGGGGCCTGGGGCAAACACATGTGCGTGCACCAGATGGGGGATGCCAGCCCAGCCCTCGCTGCTGATGCTGCTGAAGCAAAGCAGGGTCACACTGAGCCCCCTGCCTGGGGGGAGCCCAGCCAGCCAATGCAGTCCTTGGCAAGTACAGTGGTACCTTGGGTTAAGAACTTACCGGTAATTCGTTCTGGAGGTCCGTTCTTAACCTGAAACTGTTCTTAACCTGAGGTACCACTTTAGCTAATAGGGCCTCCCGCTGCCGCGCAATTTCTGTTCTCATCCTGAAGCAAAGTTCTTAACTTGAGGTACTATTTCTGGGTTAGCGGAGTCTGTAACTCGAAGCGTCTGTAACCCGAGGTACCACTGTAGAGAGGAGCACCGAACCAGGCCGCACTGGGGTCACCTATGTTGGGTCACCTAGTTGGTGCCCATTCAAAAATTGTGAACCCAGGACCATGGCCCCTCTTCACTTCTCATGTTATGCTTCTGTATCCTAACTGTAGACAATTGTTTAAAATGCAGGTGAGAAGGAGGAAGGCAGAAACTCACAGGACTCATCCACACTTATCTTTCGCCCTACACTTTAAATCTCTGAGTCGGAGCGCTCTTTTTTTTCTTTTTCACCCTGTAGAGTTCCCTGTGAAAACCCACACTTTAAAGGCAAAGCACAACAATCAGCAATTTGGATTTTCCACAGATTGCTGTTTGTTCTGATTCAGCAATAAAGAGCAAGTTTTCATGGGGAAAGTTCCAGGGAAGAAGAAGAAGAAGAAGAAGAAGAAGAAGAAGAAGAAGAAGAAGAAGAAGAAGAAGAAGAAGAAGAAGAAAGCTTGGATACTGAAATATACTCGGAGTCCTGTAGTGATTTCATGCTCTTTATTGCAGCTTGTCAAACAGTGATTGAATTGCCCCCCAAACCTCAGGCTTCTATATGCATTATTTACACAATGGAGCCTGATTGGTCTTTTCCTGCAGGCCAATCAGTGGTTGTATTCTAGGATCCTACTTGCCTATTTTTCTAGGATCCAAGCTTAGCACATAACACCCCTCCCCTCTAAGTTCCCATTGTGCCCAGAAGGTTCGTAGGCGTTGAGGTATGCCAGTCACTTATGTATGTCTTGTGGTCTCGGGTGTCTCTCGGTAGGGCTTCCTGGTTCTGGCTCTTGTTCCGGGGCTGTTGGGTTGGGCGCCGCTGGTCCACTCGGTCATGGTTCTGGTTCCTGTGGCTGCTTGGCCTCGGGGGTCACTTCTGGACTTCCTAGTTCTGCTTCACTCACCCGCTCCTCCTGCTCTATGGGCCTCACCCTTCTACTATCCCCTTGGCATCCTCTGTCCAGCCCTCCTCACAGTCAGATCGGCTGATTCTGCTTCCCTTTTCCTGCAGGCCAATCAGTTGCTGCATTCTACGATCCTACCAGCCTAATAGGCTGATTAACTTCACCCTTCTACTATCCTCTTGGCATCCTCTGTCCAGCCCTCCTCACAGTCTGATTGGCTGATTAACTTCCTCCTGGAGCCTGATTGGTCTTTTCCTGCAAGCCAATCAGTTGTTGCATTCTAGAATCCTACTTGCCTATTGTTCTAGGATCCAAGCTTAGTACATAACAGATACGTAGCTCTGAAGCGCAGACTGTGCCTGGAAAGAGCAGAGGAAAGGTTAGTGTGGATAAGCCTACAGAGTAAAACTGCATCAAAGTCCACGTGCAGATTATAAGTGAAAAGAATAATGAATTGTGAAATACAGTTTCCACAAATACAATCGGATGATTTGGAAATGCAAAATCTGAGCAGAAATCTGCACTTCCTGAGCCAATACACAAGCCAAAACAGCCATCTTTCAACATTTCCACTTCTCTGGATTTTACATCGCAGTTCTCCAAAATGTGTACGTCAGTGTAAATAATGTACAAAATGCAATATGTTGTGGAAAATTGCAAACCTGCACATTAGAACATTGTGCATATTAGAAGCAATGTTTAGAAAAATAAGTATGGTTTTCATGGGGGCTTTAACACTCTTCCCCTGCTGCCAAACTGTGGAAATGAAGCAAACTGAGTTTAAGAATGGAAAAAGAAGAAACAGACAGAAACCAAAACAGACAAAAATCTGCCCATCAATAGCAAAGGCACCCTTCTGCATCTGATGTCAGCCTGCATTTGTGCATTTCATCATCAGCTTATTTACGCCCAAGAACAAAGAGTGTGCAGGGACTGGGAAGCCAAACGTACTGAGATCAGCCTGCTCTTAACTTCTGCAAAGTTAATCTGCTGAAAGTGATTGGCAATCACCACAGATGGGAATGGGAATAAAATAGCACCAGGCTGAATTTAATTCTCTTCATAATAATAATTAAAAAACCCTGGCAAGGATGCATGCATTATTCATGGCAAGTACCGGTAAGTGGTTCACCTCGGCAATATGAGCCAGGAAGAGGCTGAGCTTGCAGTATTCCTTGCCTGCTTCAGGAACTGTAGCTGCAAAAGATGGTGACCTCAGGCTTCCAGACAGTAGTTCTCATCTATGAAAATGAAAGAGCAAAGGAGTTTTCACCCCATGATTCGTCCTTTATAAAAGATTTGGGCTTTGGAGGAATTTGGGCAAATCCCATTACAAGCCACCCAGCCTTAAATATCTGCTTGCAGTCATCATCCTCTGTATTCTTTATTGAAAACAAATCAAATTTCCACTGAAAGCATTTGAGACTTTCATCTCTTGCCCATCTATGGAGGGGGGGGGAAGACTCTTCATCCAATAGAGTTTATTGCTCAGACTTCCAGGCTGATGGAGATGTTCAGCTGTCATATCTAGCTGCTTGGAAAATTATGAGGGGGGGAAATAACCTGGTGGCGAGGCATCGCAATAGGTATAGAAACAACATAGATGGCATCTAAATGAAGACAAAGGGTAACAGTATCATACTGGCATTCAAGAAACTTATTCTTAGATCCAATAACAGTGTGAAAGTAAAGTCCAGGAGGCCAAACGCCCCAAATCCTAGCATGTGACATGTTGCAATGCGTCTTTCAGACACATGTAATTAACTTCAGTAAATGATGGCCCCCAATTGTATTTCAAACGCACCTTTGGGGGCTTATCCCCTGTTTGGATTTACTGCAGCTTGCATGTGTTTGGAGCTGTGCTGGAGCCAATGGTCTCTTGTATTGGTGACGCCCTTCTCCTCCTCCCCACAGTCACTGTTGCTCACTCATCTTCATCCTTGGGGCTGAATGCGCACAATGGACTAGAGCGTGAGAGAGCATTGCTTGCATTCTTGGACAGGCAGCAACAGCAAGAAGGGGGGACAGCAGGACCAGGAGGTGGAGAAGCTCCCATGGGCCAAATTAGGCCTGCCAGGCCAGCCAGATTGGCCCTTGCGCTCGTTCTCTGCTGGCCACACCCACCTGTCACTGCCCTGACATCAGATGTGGGATTCGTAAAGCCCATCCAGGGCTTGCATTCAGCACTGTTTAAATTTGGCACAGAAGGCAAGCCCCGTTGGAACTGGTCCACTCAACAGCTCTCACTTGGAGCTCCTGGGTGGAGGTGAGCTCTGCTGAAAGCAGCCAAGCGCTCCTTTTGGTGTTGAATTTGAGCAGTGCCAAAGGTAAGTCCTGCCGCCAAGGAACCATCAGGAGAGCAGGGCTTAAAAGATGCTTCAATTTTTTCCTTTGCAAAAGGGCTTGCCTTTACGTGCTGTTTAAATTCAGCCCCAACTTAAAGCCCCACTCCTTTGGTTTGCAGTCCTGGGTCCACAAATAATAATATCTTGGAGGTCCCGGGCCTCAAGGAGGTTAAACTGGCCTCAGACAGGGCCAAGGCCTTTTCGGCTTTGGCCCCAGCCTGGTGGAACACTCTATCGCAGGAGACCAGGGCCCTGCAGGACTTGACATCCTTCCGCAGGGACTGCAAGACGGAGCTGTTCCACCTGGCCTTTGGTCCAGGCCCAGTTTGACCCCCCTCTGTGGGACCTTGTAAGTTACCTCTTTGACCCTTTTATCGGCTCACATGGGACCAACATGGATAGCTGGCCCTGATGAATACTTGAGGTTCCCAACCCCTGTGGCTGTAATTTGCGGGCAGTCATTTAATTTTATCCTGATTCTAATTTTTAAGCTGTATTTTAATCAATTGTTTGATTGTATTTTAATATATTTGATATTTGATGTTAGCTGCTCTGAGCCCAGTCTTGGCCGGGGAGGGCGGGGTATAAATAAAAATTTACTTACTTACATGACATCAGATGACTGACAGGTCTGCTCACCTGTCCAAGGTGACCCAGAGAAGCGGCTCCTTCTGGGTTTGGCCTGCTTGACAAAAGTGGTTGCCTACCCCCCCCCCCACTATAGGGATAACAGGGGCACATTGGCGGGGATGGTTGAGCCTCAGCAAGTACCCAATCCTGAGGAGAAATCCCTCTGCTGAGAGGTCTTGCCTGAAGTGAGAGTGAATAAACTCTCCCGTCTGAAAACAAATTCACCAAAATTATTCACCAACATAATTCCCCAAAATCTCTTATCTGGCCCATATCCCACAGTCTTCCCAATTTGTATGATTTATTGACATATAATAATTAAGCTCTTGCAGCTGTGTCTTAAGAATGAGCTATATCTTATTTTAGGGAGCTTCAGCAGCTGCTAGAGGCATGAGATTGATGGAGCAGGGCAGGAACGCCAAAGAACAAATGGGAAGAAGGGGAAGCATTAAGCAGAACTACAGCAAGGAAGTTTGAATCAAAAGAAGAACACCCGACCCTTGTCCTGAAAGAACCTGGCTCCAGGGAGATATCACTTTTCTGAGAACAGGTCTGGCACCATCTTGTGGAAGTTAAAAGAAGTAACCCATGAAATAGCTGCCTCACCAGTTAGCAGGCATATATTGCAATAAGGATTTGCTCCGTGGCTCTCTTCTTCTCTGTGATGCGCTGCTTGCTCTTTCTATTTTGACAACATTCCTGTATCAATATTAGAACAAGAGCAAGCTTTCCCACCTTCTCCTGGTCTCAATAGAATTAATAGAGCAAAGAAGCAAAGAAGCTCAGATTGGCATTCATAGGAACTAGAAGCAGCACCGAAGGCCGATGGTCGGGGTGATGTTGGGATATGCATGATTGTCTGAAGGATCACAGACTCCCCACCATGATATATAGGAAGGTGAATATGAATACATAAGAGAGATGAAAAAGCAGCAGCTACTCAGGAGCAGCACTTGGCAGATCGGCAAAAAACTGCATTTCTGGGTCAGACTAAAGATAAATCTAGCCCATCACTCTATTTCCCAAAATCCACTGTAGTTAGAATTTGCCTAAAACTGACAATCAATGGAAAGGGTTTTTAAAATTTACATTAATAAATTTAATAAATTTAATTAATGGAAAGGGTTTTTTAAATTTACATTTATAGCTCATCACATCCTGAAGGATGTGACAAGCAAGACCTCTTCCAAGCAGGGAAGAATCATATTGAACCCAACTCACTGGAATTCCACCATTGCAATCTCTAAGATCAACTCAAACAGAAGAAGAAGAAGAAGAGTTTGGATTTGATATCCCACCTTTCACTCCCTTTAAGGAGTCTCAAAGCAGCTAACAATCTCCTTTCCCTTCCTCCCCCCCAACAAACACTCTGTGAGGTGAGCGAGGCTGAGAGACTTCAGAGAAGTGTGACTGGCCCAAGGTCACCCAGCAGCTGCATGTGGAGGAGCGGGGAAGCGAACCCGGTTCACCAGATTACGAGTCCACCGCTCTTAACCACTACACCACACTGGCGGGTCTTACACTACTTCTAAAACATACTCTTGGATTTGGGCGAATCTGCCATGGGAGGGAGCTCCATAGCTGTGTCTGAACCTTCCATTATGGTGCTGTCATTTGGAGAGCATCTTCTGAGAGTCTCAGAGATTATAATAGGAAACAAGTAATGAGGTTGTCTCTTGTGCATGTTGGAACTATGGCAAGTCATTTAGAGTTTTTAGGAACCAGTGAGAGAACCCAGGAATTGTGAACAGAGAGACAGACAAACTCCAGCCAAAGCCCCCAAACCCCTAAGAGCAGTTTGTCCATGTAACAGGGTCTCCACACATATAGTTCAGATGCAGATCACAGATCTCTCCATCCTGCATGTTTTTGTTGGGAGACATGCATTTACCTCTGCCCTCTCATAAGCTGTATTAGTGTCCCAAAACATCATTTTATGATGCAATTAGGAGCGGATGAATCTCTCAGTTTCAGTTTCTCGTTTTTCCAACCTTAAGTTCAGTCATCAGACAATGCTGTTTTAAGCCATTAGACTTTGTTTTAAGCCATTAGGCATTGTCTTGACTTTGGATTTTTCTCTTTCCCGTTTAGGAATCTTTTCAGGATTCTAGAAGAAGTTTTAAAATTAGGTCTTCTCATGGCTCAAGTAATCAATTTACAGGTAATGATTTTAAACAACAACACCCTGCCAGTCTATCTCATGTTGCCACAAAACAGGGAAATGGGAAGGTCAGCTATGATATTGTGCTTGCTTACAACCTATCCTCCAAGCTCTGAAACAGTTTTCCTTGGTCTTTCAGGTCCTAATCTAGATGGAGGGGATGCTGCTGCCAGCGACCAGCAAAGATGCCCCACACAATGTCCTGTTCCTGTATGGCTTTTGGAAGCTAGAGGAATCCTCCTGTGAAATTTCATAATAGGCATTGTATAGAGCACCCACCCTTTGCAGATACTACAATCCTGGCAGAAAAACACACACAACTTAACTTTTGCTTTCAGATAAGCATTATTTTGCTGGAAAACCTTCCACAGACTTTAATGGGGTGGAAAACCCTTAATAAAATTTTAGTTGGTGATCAGAGCTTCCCCAAACCAAAGACAAAGCACATTTACTACTACTACTATTTCATCAAAATTAAAAGAAGTATATGATATACTTTCTTTGGGGAAAGGGGTCAAAGTGCCAGTTTCCAGCGCTTTTTACCTAGCTGTATCTTGGGCCATTTTTACCAGAGCAGTTTGAAATCTGGCACTTTCACAGACCACCTGCCAAGTTCCAAGTCATTTGTTCAAAAGGTGCCATTTATTGTGTTGGCGTCCTTCTGCCTTGGGAGGCAATGAAAGAGTAAAAGGGTGAAGTCAAACCATTGGAGAGTTACAGCGCCTGCTGTGGCTGTAGAGACCAATACAGGAGAGACATGTTTTATTAAGGTTACAATGATGGAGCCCTGCTGTTGCTATGGGTCTTAACTATATGAGAACTTCTGTTGGGCTGTATATGTGATAAAGGGGACCCATACCGGGGTGAAGGCGTCCTCTTCTATTTGTCCCCATGTCAGTTTCAGTTTACTGGTTAGTTTTTCCTAATAAGGCTGTTTCCCATACTATTTGATACCATTGGTCCAGGCTTACTCCTGACAGGTCTCTCCAGTGTCTGGCTATGATGCTTCTGGCTGCTGAAAGTAGGTGGGTTATGAGCTTTTCATAGTTCGAATGGGCATTATTATCTTGGAAGATGTTCAGTAGGGCCAGTTCTGGGGTGACGTCTAGTACTTGCTCAACAAGACAACAACAACCCGCCAACAGCATTTGAATCAATCTGGCTAACCTGCTACACACACACACACACACACACACACACACACACCACTCACACATGAAAACAAAGTTCACCACAGCCAATCAAAGACAACCAACCACACCCTAGGCCAACCCCAACCTCTCTCACCACCAAAGGAACACAAGCAAAGAGTAAAGAGAACCCACACAAGTGACGCTGACACAAAACCCCACACATACAATAAGTAGAATTGAAGCATTGCCACCCAACACCACCCCACTCACCATTCCCCTCTCTACCTCTTTCCCTCTTTTCTTCCTAATGTAACACTAATGTCTCACAACAGATGAAACTGATCTGTAGAAAATGCAACTGGGGAAAAGAGACATTGCACATACTTTTGTAAACCAAGAAATCTTTAATAAAAATATATTAAAAACAAACAAGCTATATGAGACCTTCTGTGTTCCTATATTATAGTTTGAGGGTTTTTTAAAAATAAAAACTTTGCCAAATCTCTCTTTCTCTGAGCCTCCTCCTCTGAGCGGCCTCCTCCCCAAAAACACCCGCTTTTATATTTGCAACCATATTCTGAAGATCGCTTCCCTTTGATGTTTGACAGCCTGCCTTGTGCAACCCTTAGTCAGCATTTTAAGCATGCCACCTCCAGGGGGAAATGTCCCTTTCACAAAACATCTCTTCAGTCTCAGCATGAAATGGTCCTAATCCCATAGCAACAGCAAAAGCCATTTACCAGCTGCAATGTTTAATTTTTTCTTTTTTTAAGAAAAGAACTTTCATCTCCAGTGAAATAACGCTGGAAAAAATAAGATCTATTTACTGGGGAAGGAATCGTGCCATGAGAAAAAAATAAATTAAAACAAATTCATTACCTTTACCATGATGTGCTGTTAGACGCCACCCCAATCCTACCGGACTGTGCGCCTTAATTTACTAAACACCACTGCTTGGCTTCTAAGCTCTGCCTCCTGCATCTCAGAGTCTCAGCCTCCAGAGAAGAGTAACCATAGTAACTACTATATTGCCAGCTATGTAATGAGAATAAAACCCAAGCATTACTATCTATTTGCTAAGGTTGCCATATGTCCTCTTTTTCCAGGACACGTCCTCTTTTTCATGGGTAGAGTCATCATAGCAATCCATAGTTAAAAGTATAAGTCGGCAAATGTTATCTCTTTTTTGCTCTTCGAAATATAGCAACCCTACCCTTTCTCGTTTACGCAGCTTCACCACGCAGTCATGTTGTTGTTGTTTAGTCGTTTTGTTGTATCCAACTCTTCATGACCCCATGGACCAGAGCACGCCAGGCACTTCTGTCTTCCACTGCCTCCCGCAGTTTGGTCAAACTCATGTTGTAGCTTCGAGAACACTGTCCAACCATCTCATCCTCTGTCGTCCCCTTCTCCTTGTGCCCTACATCTTTCCCAACATCAGGGTCTTCTCCAGGGAGTCTTCTCTTCTCATGAGGTGGCCAAAGTATTGGAGCCTCAGCTTCAGGATCTGTCCTTCCAGTGAGCACTCATGGCTGATTTCCTTAAGAATGGATAGGTTTGATCTTCTTGCAGTCCATGGGACTCTCAAGAGTCTCCTCCAGCACCATAATTCAAAAGCATCAATTCTTCGGCAATCAGCCTTCTTTATGGTCCAGCTCTCACTTCTATACATCACTACTGGGGAAACCATGGCTTTAACTATACGGACCTTTGTTGGCAAGGTGACGTCTCTACTTCTCAAGATGCTGTCTAGGCCTGTCATTGCCCTTCTCGCAAGAAGCAGGCGTCTTTTAATTTCGTGGCTGCTGTCACCATCTGCAGTGATCATGGAGCCGAAGAAAGTAAAATCTCTCACTGCCTCCATTTCTTCCCCTTCTATTTGCCAGAAGGTGATGGGACCAGTGGCCATGATCTTCGTTTTTTTGATGTTGAGCTTCAGACCATATTTTGCGCTCTCCTCTTTCACCCTCAATAAAAGGTTCCTTAATTCCTCCTCACTTTCTGCCATCAAGGTTATGTCATCTGCATATCTGAGGTTGTTGATATTTCTTCCGGCAATCTCAATTCTGGCTTGGGATTCATCCAGCCCAGCCTTTTGCATGATGAATTCTGCATATAAGTTAAATAAGCAGGGAGACAATATACAGCCTTGTCGTACTCCTTTCCCAATTTTGAATCAATCAGTTGTTCCATATCCAGTTCTAACTGTAGCTTCTTGTCCCACATAGAGATTTCTCAGGAGACAGATGAGGTGATCAGGCACTCCCATTTCTTTAAGAACTTGCCATAGTTTGCTGTGGTCGACACAGTCAAAGGTTTTTGCATAGTCAATGAAGCATACCCTCCATCATTTCTCCACTGAAAATGAGGATGTCCTAAGGAAAAGTGGGACATTCCAGGATCAAATCAGAAACTGGGATGGCTTCTGTAAATCTGGGACTGTCCCTGGAAAACAGGGAAATTTGGAGGGTCTGCTCATATAAGCTAGTTTCCACTAGTCTTCTACAGGGAAGGGCATTCCACAAAAGACTGGCATTTTTGGCTAAGCAAGGAATCACCAAGAGCAGTCTTCTTCCTATTGCATGTACTATTCCAGAAACCAATGTTGCTCATTCCCCATGATCAGATCGCTCCAGTCTTTTTTTTTCCTGGAATGAGTCTTACAAAGTATTCTTCTTGCCTTCCTCTAAAGCAGGAGTGATTAACACGCAGTTTGAGAGTAAAAAATACCCCACATCAGTTTTTTTCTGCGCTCACCCTTTGTCGTCGTCGTTCCCCACTCCCCCAAATCTACAATACTATGTTATGTATTATATTTTTTCTTAGCCGCCTGAAGATTACACTCCATGCAACTGAAGAAATGCACTGTGGTCCACAAAGGTTTATGCCATAACAAGCTGGTGCTAAGAGATTCTTTGTTGTTTTGCAGCAACAACATGGAAATCGTTCGGAAATATTGTGTCTTTTTAAAAAGTACCACTAGAGGGCAGTCGTATACAGAAAGCAATCAGAAGGAGTACTTTGAAGCAGCCAGTCAGTTATGCATGAAATGTGCACACGTCTGATCATCATGGGTAACATGCGTGTTGCTGGCATGCTTTATTACAGATTATTTCATTGCAGGAATTTCTTAACGTTTCAAGACATTGCTTAAGTCTACAGGTAGCTCATCTTTTTAGTCTTAAGACTATTGTAACCTCTGGAAAGTTAATTTTTTAAAAAAATCTGAATCCATTGACAAATGGAAAGCCAGAAAACATAGTGGGGGGCGGGGCGGGGAGTGATTGGTGCAGATCCTGCACAATGGAACTGAACATGCACCAAGTCCCTGCCATTTGATCTAGAACTCCCTGGGAAGTATCCGCTCCCTCCTACGCAGAATGGTCTGTGAGCCATTTCCTCCACTGCCGCTTAGTGTGAGATGTCCCTAGTCCATGTGAGTTTGACAATGGGTAGCCATGGCTGCTGTGCCCAGCAAGTCTGGAGACCTGAGAGTGGAAGGTGAGTTTGGAAACAGACATCAGTTCTGCCTGTTCTCCAGCCAGATGTGGCTTGTGCTGGTACATTAGAGGGATGGGCTTCCAGGAGTGTCCCCGTGGTTAGTATACACTAGCAATAAGCCATTTTGGGGTAGACAGCAGTTGCCCCCTGCCCTCCTGCTATCAACAAAGGTCTGGTGGACATGGATATCCCCTCCCTCCACCGCCACCACTACGTCAACGGGAATCATAGAATCATAAAATTGTAGAGTTGGAAGAGAGACACTGAGGGTCATCTAGTCCAACCCCCTGCAAATGCAGGAATCTCAGCTGAAGCATCCATGACAGGTGGCCATCCAACCTCTTCTTAAGAACCTCCAAGGAAGGAGAGCCCGCCACCTTCTAAGAGAGTCTGATCCACTGACTAACAGCTCTTACTGTCATCATCCTGATGTTTAGTCGAAATCTCTTTTCTCATAACTTGGTTCAGATTCTACCTTCCAGAGCAAGAGAAAACAAGCTTACCCCCATCTTCTATATGGCAGCCCTTTAGATATTTGAAGATGGCTCATCATGTCTCCTCTCAATCTCCTCTTTTCCAGGCTCCTTCAACCGTTCTATATAAGACTTGGTTTCCAGACCCTTGATCATCTTGGTTGCCTTCCTCTGCACACGTTCTGGACTCTAGACTTCTGTTGATGCAGCCCTGAAGAGCTTTAGCATTTTTTATTGCTGAATCCCACAGTTGACTCATGTTAAGCTCTGGTCTACTAAGACACCTATATCCTTTTTTTTTGCATGTACTGCTGGCAACCCAGGTGCACTCCATATTATATTTGTGCACCTGGTTATTTATTGTTATGGTTTTCTTAGAATGTGTGTGTTGTTGCTGTTGCATATTAAATTTATATGCTGCCCTGCATCCGAAGATTACAGGGCAATTCACAACACAACACAGTAATACAAAATGTGTTTAGTAGTTCTTGCTTTTATCTGTAAGCCACCTTGAGTCTCTGTCAGGGGAAAAGGTGGGTTGCCTTGACCCCACTTCAAACATGCACTAATTCATACATTTAAACACTTCTGTGTAGAAATCAGCACTCAACATACATGCTGATGATTATATATGTGAAACATGTGCACTTTGTGCGGACTACACGCCGTGGCATTTATGGAATTGCTTTCTTACTGTGATCTACTTTAAATCTTACCCTTCATTGCAGTTTTACTTCCTGTTTCCTGTTTAATTCTCAGTTTAGCAAATGTAACTTCCAGTTACTGCTGGGCTCCCGTGAGCTACTTACGGCAACGTACATTCGCCACACTTTTCACGTAGGAATTATGCCAGGTTGTACCAATCGACAGAGTCAGCCGTAATGCAAGGAAGACAAGGGCAGTTATGAGTTTCTGAATGCAGATGTATTCAGTTTGTAGAGCACAAGGGAAATCGCAGATGCTGACATCAAAGACTGAGCCATATTTTATGCCACAGTCACATTCCTCCCTGCCAGACACTCGCTGTGCATCAAGACACTCACTTGATTCCCAGTGCTGCTCCTTGCGGTGGAAATTACTTCCATAGCCCTGATTAGAACCTGCTGCATCTTGGAACTTCTTGGAAAGAGAGAGAGTGAGGAGCAGCCCTCAACAAGCCACAGCTGCCTGCCACATGAGCCCGTTAAAGACAACAACTACTAAGGGTATCGTGATGGTTTGCAGCCTCTGATACATTCACCTCCAGCTGCACATGTCCCTCTGTTGTTTGGGCTTATTTTATTACCCTCTTACTCAAGAAAAGCATCTACGAACTACGAGGGAAATGCTGGAAAGGAGCCACGATTTCCCCTTTTTGTGTAGTTTTAAATTCTTACTTTTAATATGCTTGTGCATTTATATATTTCAACTGCGAAGTGCTCCACTTGCATTACTTCAGAAATTATTACCAACAGCCTTGTAAGGTAGACTATTATCATTTTCACTTATTGCCCCGTCTCAGGGTTTGGATCAGATTTTTTCAGGGTTTGTAGCTTCCTCCTCTAGTCTCGAATTTGGAGAAAATATCAGGGTGATAGGGCAGAAATCACAAAATAAGACATTAAAAGCAAGAAAACGTAAAAATCATTCAGACACATTGACATTTTGAACAATGAGGAAGCAAGCTGAACCTCCTGTAGGACGTTTCACAGCCTAGGCACCACCACCGATAAGGCTCTGCTATTAGTCACTTCCCCACAAGTTTCACACAATGGCAGGACTGCCAGCAGAGCTCCCTCTGCAGATCTTTATTGACAGGATGGCAGATACTCCTGTGAGTTTTGGGGTCCAAGTCATTTGGAGCTCTATATGTCAGTATCCAAATCTTGAATTGGGACCAATAGTGAACAGGCAGCCAGTACAGTTCATGCAGGAATCAGGCAATTCCAGTAAGATATATAATATTCCAGTCTCTAAGTTACCAGAACATGAATTGGTGTGGCAAAGTTATCTGGATCCAGGAAGCAGCCAAACCAGTTGGATCTTGGCAGAGGCACTCCTGGCTACTGAAGCCAGCTAGCAACATTACGTGACTTTAATGGCATTTAATGACCTCATGGCCAAGAAGGGATTTGACACCAGCTGGTTTTATACTGAAATTACAGTCACACCAATACCCTGCTGTGGCCCAAACAGCTTGCAACTCACCAAGCACAGTGTTATGTACTGAAGTTCTCACCCTGGGCCAGCAGGGGGATACTGTAGATAGTTTTCACTCAGGTCCACATATGCAAATAAGGGAATTGAAAGTGACGTTCAGCGATTGGATAGTTGCAGAAAATAGTTACTGTTGCGTTCTAGTGGAGCTCTATATAAGCAGGCTGGCTGAACCCTTCAGTTCAATTCTGTTCTGGCCTGTGAATAAATAAGAGCTGTTTGAAGAATCGCTGTGTCGTCTGATATGTTCACCCACAACTTAACACACAAGGCAGCCCCCCCTCCAAAATCTTGGCATTGTGGTCTTTCAGGTACTTGAGAACCCACAGACCCCCACATACACTAGTTTTCAGGGGTGGGGCAAAAATATTTGAGTGGTGAAATGACAAGATTTTCAGCAATGTTTTAAGGCCCATTCTTGGATGAATTTGAGGTTAGATTACAGAAAGGGAAAGCCCAATATTCTATGTGCTTGAGTTAGCCAAGCATTCGTGAGCAAAGTGCTAATGTCCCTCAAGCCAGGAGCGAAACTAGGTTTCATTTGCCCAGGTTGAAGATCCAGTCAGGCACCCCAACACACACACACATTTGCATACAGACACAGGCTGGGAGCCTCAGTGGTGCCCCCTAGAGACTTAACCCAGGGCAGTAAGAGCTGCTAACATCTGGGCCCAGCTATGTGGCAAGGCTCAGTCTTGATTTGGTGTTTGGGGCTGGTTTGAATAAAGGCGAGGTGGAGGGTGGGGGACTCCTTTGTTCCTTTCTTGTGGGCAGATCACTAGAAGGTAGAGCTTAGGATCACTGCGAATCCTAACTCAAAAGGAATGGAGGACCACGCCAAAGACTGATGGACCCAGACTGTTTCCTGATGTTTCCAGGAGATTTATTACATCTATTACATTGAATTACTGACATGTGTTCTCCATGGAGCTACCTTTGGGGAACATCTAGGATAGTGCCATATGAAGTTGTGTCGCCTTTGACAGGAGCCAATTGTTTGAAGCATCAGACTTGGTCAGTACACCATCTGCATTGGCTTCTGGTTCATTTCCAGACTCAGTTCAAAGTCCTGCTCACTCCCTTGAAAGCCCTCCTGATATGCAAGTCTGCCCATTCTCTGAGGTTATCTAGAGAGGCTTTGTTGCATATTGTGTTGGTTTCTGAGGCTCAAAATGGCAGGTGCTTGGAACAGGGCTTCTCATTTCTTGAGCTGAGGCTTTGGGAATATCCTGCCCTGGAAGATCCATTTGGCATTCTGTTTAAGACCAAATCCTTGGACAGCTCCACACCATACATTGAAACACACATGATTTTCCTCAAAGAATTCTGGGAAATGTAGTTTCTTGAGGATGCTGGGGAACAATTCTCAGAGAACCACGGTTCCTAGGGTACTTTAGGGAGTGTCATCTGAGTTTCAGCCTATTTCACTGAGCTGCCTTGAGCGTGTCAAACTGAGGCAGAAAGGTGAAATACAAACTCTAATCACTAACTAACTAAAAGACAACATGTCTTTTGAGCATGTGTTCCACTCACTTCTCGTAATGTTGTAGAAAAGGGAACAGCAACTGGGACTAGCCAGTAAGGAAGGCAGCAAAGGATGGCAGGCTCTACATGGCTACTTGGGAGTAAGCCCTGCTCAACCCACAGGGGGCTGGGTTTGCCTGTGTAGGGTTCCTTACTATGAGTGAGTTGGCTGAGCTCCGGAGCATTTTCATCTGGGGCAAGGAAACACAAAAGAGTCAAGAGGGAAAAGGCTGGCTGAAGCATCTCTGGAAGAGAAAGAGGAGGAACCTGGCTACTGAGGAAGCACAGACTTCCAGTATAAAGTGGGAACAAGCAAGTAGGAACAGGCTGTGGCTGCAGGAGGGGGGGGGCGATCTGCCATCCTTCCTGAGACCAGCTCTACCTTCAGCTTAGCCAGGTCATAAAATAGGGCCATAAATAGTCGACAGTGGCTCTCAAACACCATTTTACAACCAGCTGGGAGTACAGATTTGAACTGTCTTCCTTTATAAGGCCCCAGCAAAAAGTACAGAAGGAGGGGCTGAAACTGAAGAGGGGCGCTTAACCCTTTCCCTCATGGCAACATCACCCGTCCAATCTTGCAGGGCTGCGCCTGTTTGGTGCGCCACCTTCCTGATGCACATGCGCTCACTGCTAAAACACAATCCCGGTGTGAGCCTATGCACAATGGCATTGCTGGTCATTAAGGCACACGTGTGCTTTTGTGCACAGATAAAAACACAGCAAAAACAAAAGCAAAGTTGGTTGTATCAATCAGGTGGGACGCAGGTAGCGCTGTGGTCTAAACCACTGAGCCTCTTGGGTTTGCCGATCAGAAGGTCAATGGTTCAAATCCCCAAGACGGGGTGAGTTCCTGTTGCTCTGTCCCAGCTCCTGCCAACCTAGCAGTTCGAAAGCACGTCAGTGCAAGTAGATAAATAGGTATCTACTGCGGCGGCAGGAAGGTAAATGGCATATCCGTGCGCTCTGGTTTCCATCACGGTGTCCCGTTGTGCCAGAAGCAGTTTAGTCATGCTGGCCCCATGACCTGGAAAGCTGTCTGTGGACAAATGCTGGCTCCCTCTGCCTGAAAGCAAGATGAGCACCGCACCACATAGTCAAGTTTGAGGGGACTTACCCTCCTGGGGTCCTTACCTGTATCAATCATCTTTTTGTATAGAGGGCAGTGGATGGTCTCAAAGCAGGACTCCCTAGCAGTCAGTCTCCTGCAAGCCTCTCTGCTTCAAGTGCACCATCTAAGCTGCCGTGCTGGCTGGCCTGAACACCCAGTCAGCAGACCTCAAGGACTAGTCCTTGTCTACCGGACCCCAAAATTGCCTGGCTGCAATACTGACTAATTTCTGGTCCTGCCTGGTTTTGACTATCCACATGCCTGTGGAACTTCTGGACCTTGTTTGCCGTTCTGGAAATGGACCTCTTTCTAGGCTTGACAATATACCTGCCCACTTGGTACTTGTTTTTCTGGAGCCTGACCCTCGCCACAGCCCAGCATGTACAGTGGTACCTCGGGTTACATACGCTTCAGGTTACATATGCTTCAGGTTACAGACTCCGCTAACCCAGAAATAGTGCTTCAGGTTAAGAACTTTGCTTCAGGATGAGAACAGAAATCGTGCGGCAGCGGTGCAGCGGCGGCAGGAGGCCCCATTAGCTAAAGTGGTGTTTCAGGTTAAGAACAGTTTCAGGTTAAGAACGGACCTCCGGAACAAATTAAGTACTTAACCTGAGGTACCACTGCACAATGTGCAGGAGCAGGTGGATGCACATTGGTAAAACCAACATAGGCTTGTGATATGGATATACTGATGAACAATCAGCCTGAGGGTTAAGAGGATGCTGCCATTCAGGCTGGGAACATGTTGCTGGGAGAATAATTATTATTATCTTATTTTATTTTATTTTTTACATAGAGTTAACCTTGTCCCCAGCTTTGTACCTACCATTTTCTAGAATTAAATCACCCACCAGCACACAGCTGCCTTCAACAAAACAAAAGCCCCAAAGAAGAACACGTTGGCCGGTCTCCAGCATCAGGTCTCGTCTGGCCCTGAGCCAGCCTTTATGGATGATCCGCTCGTTTGGTTTTCATTCAGAGCCTGGAGGTTTGTAAGTCTTGTTTCAAAACCCGTCACCAATTCAGCTTTGGCCAGAAACAACAGGAGTTTCCCTTCTTTTATGTTTTTCTTTTCACAGGAGGAGACAATTTGAAAGATTGCATTTCCCAAATATTATGTCACATCATTATCCAGAACATATGGAGCACCAGCGGAATCTTACACAGGTCTACTCAGAAGTAGGTCTTCTGGAAGTCCTTGAGCTCCATAGGGCTTGCTCCTAGGTAAGTGGGTCTACGATTACAGTCTGTGCTGTAATACTTCAAGCAGGCAGTGAAGCAAGCCGCTTGCAGTGTGCAGGGACCTCTTCCCAGCATTTAAAAGTAAAGTTGACAGTTGCTTTAAATTAGAGTGGCTGGCTCAAGTTCAAGGCAGCGAGTGGGTGTTCATTTAGCTGAAGAAGACAGTTGCAAAACTTGGGAATCAAGCTCCAAATGAATGCAGGGAAACCTATTATTTGACAGAAAGACACCTCTCCTTGTTTTTGGAAGGACTTTTACTCATTTGGGACAGCTATATTTGCGTGAATTTTAACCAGTATGTTGCAGCTCCAAAGGAAACATACGGTTTTGCTGGGAAAGCTGAGATTGGTGGCTCCGAAGCAAGGTAAGACGAAAGCGGCTTTGTTGCAAAACTTTTTCAAACAACAATTAATGAAGGGAACAAAAGTGGAGAGGGCTAAGATTCAAAATGCAGGTTTGTGCAAAATAATAGCTGGATTCCAGTGCTGTAAAGTTGCTGCAGAAGTTGTGTATACCTTAAATGCAGAGCTGTATATCCCAATAAAATAGGAACATTCCTTTCAGAGCAAACAGGGCTTGTAAGAGCCCTCTGTTGTACAAACAGAACAACTTAGTTTATAGCAGAAGTATTTCCATTTTTGCAAGTAAATCCCACCGTGTTCAATGATTCTATTTGGGAGGTGGTGGACTCTCCTTCCTTGGAGGTTTTCAAGCAGAGGTTGGATGGCCATGTGTCATGGATGCTCTAATTGAGATTCCTGGATTGCAGGGGGCTGGACTAGATGACCACTGGGGTCCCTTCCAACTCTACAATTCTATGATTCTGTGAGACTACTGGCTAAGGCTTCAATCCTTGCCCTCCTTATCTGGGAATAAGTCCTAACTGAATTCACTTGGACTTACTTGTGAGTAGATATGGTTAGGATTGTGCTGTAAACGTGCTTCAGGTTACAGCTTTAATTATATTAGGCACAGGAAGTTAACATTTGAAACTTCTGGATTTCAGTGAAGGGGCTAGGGTTTTTTTTGTTTTTTAATTGCACAAAACCTTTTGGATGTTGCTATAAGAGTTTGGGCTTGGTACGGAAGGTAAGTTTCTCTATTAATTAAGAGGAGGAAATGGGTGCTTTCATATATTTTATATGCATATTAACAGAATGACCCTTTGGAGAGGAATGTGTAAATGATGAAGAACATTTTAATTTTAAAAAATTATAATTAAAGGGGACACAATACAACCATAGTTAAACACCTTTTGTGTTCATTTGCTTTCAATGAGAATTGAGATCAGCAGGGTTTAAAACTGCTCAATTGCTCTTTCCTTTTTTTTATTTAAAAAAAAGGCATACATATTTGGTTTGGCTTCTCTCATTCCTTTACCAACTGACTTGAATGTTTCTGGTTTTGCTTTCCCATGAAAGATGTGAACATAATTCCAAACATTCCCTTTAGCTCAGTTGCTATGGCTCCTCGTGCACTTGTTTTTCTAACTGCTCTGTAAATACAAAATAAACGATAAGGCTTTGGAGTCATGCTTTAGCAAAGTTTGAGCAATCCCAAAACAGTTCTCTTTCTCTCTCTTAGACACACACACACACACACAGAGAGAGAGAGAGAGAGAGAGAGAGAGAGAGAGAGAGAGAGAGAGATTGGTCAGTCAAGCATCATTTGAAACATCTATCACAACATGTTAAGGCAGCAGAACTTACTGAGCTTTCTTGACATTTGAAGGATTGCGGCTGCTTAACACTTGGTGGGAGAAAACATGCCAGAATGAAAGGAAGTCTTCCATTCTCTGCTCACGCCCTCTTACAAAGTGTGAGATGTAGGTTGTGTACACATGAGCATTTACTTTGGCACCTGTGTGCTCCCACTCCTCCTGTCTGAAGCTGAGTACACATGCAGTTGGCCATAACCCAGATGTTTGCCGCAGTTCCTTGAGAAATACTCCTGTTTGGAGCCTTTCCCCTCAAACCAACTTCCATTCAACTTGAAAACGTAAGTCACAATTACAAACCCTCCAGGTACCCCTATTTTCCAGGGACAGTGCTAGATTTACAGAAGACACCCCGGTTTCTGATTTGATTCCAGAATGTCCTGCTTTTCTTAGGATGTCCCAATTCTCACTGGAGGGTACGTCTGGAATTTTGAGACATCCCGAGCCAAGGAAATAACTACACAACCTTTAGAAAACATCTGAAGACAGCCCTGTATAGGGAAGTTTTTTAATGTTTCATGTTTCATTGTTTTAATATATGTTGGAAGTCACCCAGAGTGGCTGGAGCAACCCAGTCAAATGGGCAGAGAATAATAATAACAATAATATGTCCCTATTTTCATTGGAGAAATGTTGGAGGGTATGCAATCAAGCTGAGGTGTGTATATCTGAGGCAGCCGTTGCATGTGTGCAGATGACAGCTTAATTGAATAGGTATTTGGGAGTGTTGCAGGTGCAGGGAAACAAATAAGGTAATGTGCGTCAGGTGTGTGCTGTAACAGCCTCGCTACATTTTAAGCCACTATAAATCTCACTGAGAGATTTATAGCTCAAGCCTATACATGTCTACACAGACATAAGTACCATCATTTTCAGTAAGGCTTACTCCCAGGTAAATTCTATACCATTTTGTTCTGTACAATACAAGATTGCAGCTTTCTTTTACTTAATAACCAGGGCAGGAAACAGTCGGTCAGATTTCATTGTCATTATAAATAAATTGACAATTTAAGCCCAAAGCCTAGTTTATACACTCAGTAAAACCAAGCACTGTAATAAAACTTTCCCTGGTCTGTGTGACTTTAGACTGCAGATTCCCTGGGGGAGAAAGGAGTCTGTCTTTGTATATCTGGACGTTCCAAGGGTGCCTTTTCAAACATGGGGGGATTTCAGTTAGAGGGTGCACAGTTTGAAAGCATGCACCTGCATCTATTCAAAATTAAATGTTTTAAAGTTGTGCATTTGAAGAGCATTGGTTATAGTTTTTTCCTCATCCTTTTTGTACCTAACAATAAATGAGAGCAGAGGTGTGAGTCCTTAGCTTATAGTCACTGTGACGTGCACACCTTATTTGGATTTTTTCGATAAGCAAAGCAATTTGTTCCTTCCTAGATCACATTTTGCCACCTTTTGAAATAGCTTCTATAACTGTGGTGGGGGCTAGAGACCCTCACCACATGGCAAAGGTGGTGCACTCATGTAGAGTCCCTTCATATCATGCTAACTGACGCATTTGGAATTGGAGGTGCCTACTGTGTGCAGGGGGAAGTGGGTGGCGCTGTGGGTTAAACCACTGAGCCTAGGACTTGCCGATCAGAAGGTTGGCGGTTCGAATCCCAGCAACGGGGTGAGCTCCCGTTGCTCGGTCCCTGCTCCTGCCAACCTAGCAGTTTGAAAGTACGTCAAAGTGCAAGTAGATAAATAGGCAGGAAGGTAAATGTTATGTAGTGTAGTTTCACCCTGGGCCAACAGGGGGATACTGTATATAGTTTTCACTCAGGTCTGTAGATAGTTTTCACTCAGGTCCGTGGCAGTTATTTTAGGCGGGAACTCTGGGCTGTTGTGGTTACAATGTTGACAGCCGGCTGCCTATAAATACAGGCCGGCTGAGCTGTTCGCAGTCAGTTCTATTCCAGCTTACCATAATAAAGAGCTACTTGAAGAAATCGCTGTGCCGGCTGCTATGTCAACCCACGACTTAACACTGGCGACGAGGATGGGATGGATGGACATCAGAGCACAGCCAGATGCGGCCAGCCTCTGAACTGAGCTGAATCACTGAGCTGAATCACAGAGCGAAATCACTGAGCGAAATCACTGGGCAGAACCAATTCAGAGCTGACTGTTCTGGCTAGAGCACTGTGTTCCATCCATCGCCCTTCACGCCGGCATCGGAATCATGGCTTCACTTGTGCCTCTACCGCCGTTTGCGCCAGCCTCTGAATCATGGGACTCCTACCTCGCTCGGTTCGACTGCTACCTCCAAGCCAACGAGCTGACAGCAGTATCAAAGGATCGGAAGCGGGGCCTATTCCTCAGCCTCTGTGGGCCTGAGGTGTTTGAGACGGCCCGAGCGTTGGTTGCGCCTGAAGCAGTCCAGGCAACACCATGGGACACGATCCAAGAGAAGCTCCGCAACCACTACGCACCAAAGCCGTCCAAGATTGCTGCCCGCCATGGGTTTTACCACTGGAACCAGGCAGAGGGGGAGTCAATCAACAACTACACCACCGCCCTGCGACAGGCTGCAATGCACTGTGAGTTCCGAGACTTAGACGATGCCCTGATGGATCGAATCGTCTGCGGGGTCCGGGACATCCATCTGCAACGGCGCCTCCTAGCCAAGCCAGACCTCACGCTACAGAAAGCCATTGAGGAGGCTGTGGCCTCAGAAGCTGCTGAACGCTCCGCCCAGGAGATCCGCAAGTCCAGCAGCCCGCGTCTTGCTAGGGAGCCAGTTCCGGTGCATCATGAAGAGGCCAGCAGTGAGGAGGCATCCTCCAGTGAAGACGATGACGTGCACCAGACAAAGCGGGAGCGCAGGAAGTTACAACAGAAGTCCAAGGGCCAACCGGAATGTGCTGGCTGCGGAGGCAACCATTCCCGTGCCAAGTGTCGATTCAGAGACGCCATCTGTAGGAAGTGTTCCAGAAGGGGCCACATCGCTAAGGTCTGCCGATCGGCTCCGTCTGACACCCCCCCTTCATCGACTCGCAAGTCCAAGTCTTCACTCCAGTCTGCCAAGGAAAGTTGTTTCGCTCTCACCAACTGCCGCTGCCCGTCTGGAACCACGATTGGCCAAACCGACTCGCCTACGCGACGCAAGCTGAACGTCACGGTGCTCATTGAAGGAGCTCCATGTGACATGGAGATCGACACCGGGTCTGCCCTGTCCATCGTGTCATGGAGCACCATCAAAAGACTGGTACCCAGAGTGTCCAAAAGGCAACTCGACTCTCACCGCGTACACCTGAGAGACTACCAGGGAAACGACATTCCCGTGGTAGGCGTTGGCCGGTTCCGGATCGCCTTCAAGGATTTTTCGGGCCTGCTCCGGTTGGTGGTGGTCGAAGGTCAGCGGCCAAGCCTCCTAGGGCTAGACTGGTTTGATGCCCTCGGCCTGGAAGTCACCGGCATCAACTGCATCTCTAACGCAGAGACTGAGGGTCTGGTCAAAGACTTTGCCGAGGTTTTTGACGGCACCTTGGGCCAATATACAGGTACGCCCATCTCCTTTAGCCTTGATCCACAAGTCGCCCCCATCAAGCTAAAGCCACGCCGGGTTCCCTTTGCTCTCAAGGCTAAGGTGGACGAACAACTGGACAAACTGATCGCCCAAGGAGTTTTGGAGCCGGTTGACCACGCAA